ACACAAGTTAATGCAGCTGCATAATATAAAGGAGAAAAAAACTGCTGTTACTGCTTCGTCAAACTATAAACAACTGTTGAGGGGGAAGTCAGTGAATTAGAATATGACATTGTTTGTTACCTTTTCTATGTAGTACCACATGGGAGCGCTGCTGGTGTACGCTGGGGCTTTCCAGCTCAAAACAACATAGGTCCTGTCTGTTTCTGAGGCATTAATTCCTGATGGAACACCTGGAGGCTTTCCTTCAGCTACAAAGAAACAAGACTGAAAACGTTAAAAATATAATACATATTATATGTGGCGTAACAAATACACGAACCAGTCGCTTCCTTGCGTACATCTGTTCAATTGCTTAACATGTATGTATCAACTTCAATTCAAACCCACCTTCAACTTCGTCATGGTAAGACACGATATCCAGTCTTCCTCCAAGCCTTTTGGCTACAGGAAGATAAAGAGATGATCATCATGTGTTTGTGATTGATAGTGACCTTTTTTTGAGATCATTTTAAATACAAATTTGTTGTTTATATAGGAGCTGAACATGTACCGTATCTAATGCTATAAAATAGACTGATTAGTGTGTATTTTACAAGTCTAACCTGCCCCCAAATAAAAGCATGAGATAAGTACAATATGACATAATTTAGTTACATAATGTGTTTTTTATTATGTGCTTTAAATCAGGGCTGATTGTAATTCTACATGAATAACTGTTTAGCAAGAAACAAGAAGACAGTTATAATTTCAAACAACAGTGACTACAATAATGACAACATGACACATGGCAAAACTTCAAAACACTGTATTTTTAAGGTGAGCTTAGACATTTCTCTGTATTAGTGTAGTTAAACCCACCGTGAAGCCTCTCAAACTCAGTGGGGTCCATTGCAGTGATGGGATCAGACATACGAGAAGGTTTGCTGATTCCATGGGAGTTAACAGCTCTGACTCTGAAGTAGAAGGAGTGCCCTTCAAACAGCCCAGACACCGGATATTTGCAGATCTTTATGGGGTGATCGTTACATTGGGTCCAGTTTTCAGTTCCAACCTCACATCTAAGAAGAGAAAAGATGAGAATGTCGCAGAGTTAATGAGATGAATGCAAAGAGAAAGATCTGACAAAATACTGGTATGGCATGGAGTCATTATAAACATGTAACTATTGCAAAGAGTAATATGTGTACAAGTTTATAATGGATGTTTTATGTTTTGTGTATGCTACCATATTATTAAAAAATGCTGATTGGTATATGAGATCAGAACAGTGTACCTGTTGGAGCCTCACTGAAAGCACTTGTGCTGAAATTATCTGTTCATTATGATGCTAGACAAAAAAAAAGACATAAGCAGGAAAAGAGCTTGCTAAGCAAAAAAAATGCAGATTGAAAAAGAATGAAAAGCAGCCAATAGGTAGCAGAGCATGCCCATTCCTGCTCTGTTTAGGTAGGTTAAAATATGAGCGACAGAAGAAATAAACAAAAGCAGCTGTGTATTTTATGTGCAATAAAGAGAACATGGACTGCCCCTCTTCCTTGAGACAAAAAAACAGTAATTTGATACTCAAGTAAGCTCAATAGGATTACTTAAAGTAATTAGTTTGTCTTTATGCTGGCCAGTTTATCTGTTTATGGCGTTTATACCAGTAACTCTTACTTGTCGACAAAGTATCCCAGGATTGGACCCTCTGTAGTTGTATTAGGAGGCTTCCATGACACAATGACATAGTCTCTGTTGGCATCATGGATCTTGATGTCCATAGGAGCACCAGGTGCAGCAGGGACTGGAGGAGGACCATCTAGACAGGAAGTGATGACGTGCATTGTTTTAATAATCACATTATTCATAAGAAATAAGAAGCAATAATAATTAGCATTAGCAGTTAGCAGAATAAGTATTATGTTGACAGCAAAACCGTATCAGTTTCATAAAATCTAAGCTCCAGTTTCCAAACTGGATTTAGAAATACGTTAATCTTATCCAGTCCAACGCTTGGCTCATCTTACCTGCGACTGAGACAAAGGCGCTGTGTTCTGCGGTGCCTCCTTTAGTGACCATGCGCAGGGTATAGAGACCCTCGTCATCTTTGTAGAGATTTGGAAGAGTCAATTTGCTGAATCCTCTACCAGTTTCAATCTTCACCCATTTAGAGTCAAACAGACGAGTGTCTAGGAAAAATGAGACAGGCTCATTGACTCAGCTTCACCGCATAACTCTTATGAACCTCAACTATAAAATGCTAAAATAATGAAACATCAAGTTTGAGTAAATAAAGCCTTTCTGCATACAACAAAAATAAGCTAGAATTTTCTTTTATACCTCAGACACACACGTAGCAAATGAAACGGCTCACAAATTTGGGGTGATATTACTTGAGTCTACTTAACTGCTTTTGGTATAATTAATAGGCAATAAAAATAGTGTCCATAACATTTTCTAATTTTTACCACTGCTGTGCCTCTGGCTGCGTGTCGGCTAGATTGGGTCAGGCAGTCACTGTGGCATTTAGCATATATTACTAGCAATTATAGGGTAATTACTGTATCATAAAGTGCTATTTTATATCAATTACCATCTCTGTACCACTGTGCCTCAGGCTGTAGGTTTGCCAGGTTGGGCTCCAGGGTCATGGTAGCAGAAAGGGTGGCAGATTCACCCTCGGTAGCAAACACTGGTCCAAACATCTCCAAAAAAGTAATGTGGATTTTAGTGTAATGGATCTTTGGAAGCATAGAAGCTGGGGAAAAGAAGAGAGATAACATGAAAGAGATAGTAGAACTGGTGGTAACAGCATGTTGCTTCACACGCTCTTTTGAAAGGAGAATAGAGGAATATTATGTTAACTCATATTAAATGATATAATTGTATTACAGTTGTAATTTATGAGTATTTTAAAATCTAGTGCTGATGTTCTCTGGAGGTAATTACTTTGCCTACCTTCATAAGGCAGCCATGCATATGAACAGGACTCTTCCTCCTGCTTGAATCCTGCACAAAAAAACAACAAAAAACAGTAAACGTTGTGTGTGATTGGCAGCAACGGCCAGCTGAAATAATACAGATGTGCAGTTACAGATTTGCATGATTCATCTAAATATGATTACTTTTTTTATGAATAACATTTATTGTAAAATAACCCTACATGAAATTTGTTGAAATGTTTCTAATTGCACAAGTAACTCCTCATAGTAAACACTCAGCTGTAGGTATAGACACTTTGTGAAGTAGCCTCTAGTCTCAGAAGTGAAACCAAAGTCAGCAAAAGGAGAATCCTGTGGTCTGTGTGTGTGTCTGTGTTGGGTGGGGGGTCTGATTGTATGGAAGTTTATTGGGGAAGTGACACAAATGTTAACCCAAGTTTAAGTTATGCTTTAATTTGCTAGTTTTAAATCCTGTTTTGCACAATCAGGGTTGATTTTGTAACATATGGTCCCATAGTGAATTAGCCTTCCTATTTAGAGAATAGTGGGTTATGATTTGGGGTGTGATTGTATTTCGATTATTGTGCTTAATAGGTTGCTACTGTAAAACCACGTCCATGGTTTCCTAGTTAGACCTAGTTCCTGTCACAGAGTTCCCTTTTTGCTTACAGCAATCAGTCTCATCGTTATTTGCCACAATAATCACAAAAGTGTTATCAACCCAACTTGAAATATCATTACCGAAGGAAGTTGGATATTCTCTGCTTGGAGGCATAGCATATGATCGTGAGGCAGCATCAATTAAATAATTACTGGAATTTGATTTATGGAGTACAAGCGGCGCTTTTGCTCACACATCACTGTGGTTTCTTCTAATTGGTCTGGGCATGTTGCCTGCTCCATATCAAGAGTTTGTGTACACCTTGTCAAGTGTACAGTCCCTGATGTAAGTTAACCTCTCAGTGTCGCAAGTATAGCACTGGTTTCACAAAGTCTTTATTGAGTCGATTGAGGCAAGCTATGGATCGTAGCAACAGAGTGGTAGATCGTGCGAATGGGTGGCAGACTTGGGGTGTTTTGGTACTTTGGCTAACTCAGTTAGCAACACTAAACTATAAACAAATGTTTACGTTCTTGCATCTGGTCTAGAGTTTTGGGGGTTGGCTTGTGTGTGTATGAGAGTCAGCGTGTGCAACCCTGTTGCACGTCCATTGCTTTACACTTAAAGCCTCTGGTTATCAGATTGAATGGCTTACTCTTCACAATAATGGAGGCCTGACTGGAGGCTTGTCCATGGAGGTTTACAGCCATAGCAGTGTACTGAGCTGTATCGTCAGTTGAGCATCTGGAACACAGAATAAACATAAAATGGTTGCATTTTGATCAAAAGATTTCCCAACAGATTGCAACAGATTAAAGAATAAACGAAATGGTGATTGAGCACTGTGTCATACTTAGCATACTTAGCTAAATTCTGGGACTTCATGGCAATCTTATGGATTTTACAGTCATCTGTGAAATTACCGAAACTGCCTAAATAGCAGGTGAGCTACATATTAGAAGATCTGCCCTGACAGGACTAACTGCTCTCTACTGACCCATTGCCACTGTGCATTTTCTCCAACAGCGTATATGAATCCACTTCACCAAATAAGCAATTATTCCCCACATGAATGCTTCATGTTGCCAGGGATAATCAGCAGTGGAGAAGACAGAGCACAGATTGTGTAAAGCTCCATTCACACTTCAATTAACAATGCTTGGTTTACTTATTCAGAGAATGTTTTGGTTTAGACCCACAGCTTTCCTTTTAGGAAACACCATGTGCCAAATCTCACCTGACAAACAAAGCAGTGCTTGCAGAATACTCAGTGCATAGTCCTTTGAGTTGGAAACAAGGTCACAGGGCAGGGGGTTAATTGTATCTTCTGTGTGGGCGGATTTTATAATCTGCCAATATGTTAGAGCTGCAATGCAGTTCATCACAAACACTGTGTCTGCTAAGCTTTCTCTACGTTATATTTACATAGAGGTTACTGGATTTGTTTTCTATAGAGCAGTGTAGCTACAGATCTTTGGCCATTCTGGCAAGTTGCAAAACTTAAGTGGTCTTTTTGTTTCTGCTCATACCGCTCACTTTTCCACAACCGTATGTCACACCTTTAGCATGTGACATGAGACTTTGACCCCTTGACAAATTAATAAACTGATATAGTCATGAAAGAGGATGTTATTAGCATAAATTGCAGAAGTAATGTGGGGGAGAACAGCGAATGTACTCTCATTAAGTCGCAAATAACTTAAGCTATACAGTGTGTAGGTGTAGGACTCGTGAGGTGTCTATACATAACATAACTTCTTGCTGTCTATTTCTAACCCTGCTTAATGCCATGCTAAAGTTTTGCGGTAACTGTTATTTTAATTATTTAGCTATTTTAAAAAGTCATAAGTCATGGTAAGAATGCAGTACTCAAGAGTATGATGTGCTTCATGGGTGTTTTTTCTCCAAGGAGTATTAACTGCTGGCTGTACAGTGTGTAAGTAAGGAAACAGCGGTGGCCTGAAAGATTCCCAGAGTATCACGTACCACTGAGGTCAGCACTTGAACAGCTGAGCTTCCACAGACTGGAGGGAGAGTAGGATAAGCTCCAGTCCCCTGACTTTAACTACACAGCCCGCCCACACCTTCAGGTGACAGACGGTAAACATCTCTGATCTAATTTTGTGCATGGGGCTTGAAAGAATTAAGGAGGAGGAGATTTCCAATGGCTCGCTACATATTCTTAATCCCGATATTTGGGCAGTGAGACCAGTGGCCTTGTAACTCAGTGCACTTCATCTTAAGAAAACACAGAAGCAGACAAGTACAAGCAAACTACAACCCATTTCCAAAAAAGTTGGGATGTCTTATAAAATGTAGATTCAAAAAAGTAACATCAAGGAGAGGGAGAGAGCCGTACAGACATGGACAGAAAGAGACGGGAGTTTTAGATTGTGACCCATTCTTAAAGTTCAAAGTTAAAGGAAAAGCCCTTTGTGAGAAAGATGCACCATAGTGGGAAACGTTTTTCCCACTATTGTGCTGGACTGCTGTATTATTGGATTTTCTTCTCTTTTGGGGTCTTTACCTTACAATATAAAATCCCATGAGATGACTGCTATTAGTAAATTGGTGGCAGATAAATAAAAATATGTTCAAAAACTCTAACCTTTATTGAACTTAATGTACCTTGGGATCTCCAGGGAGTGGATTCCACCTTTGGCTTCAACCAGATATCTTCCAGAAGACAAGTCCAGGATCATTCCATCTTTATACCTAAAATTGAGCAAAACAATAGCTATCTTCATGAAGCATTGAGTAATAAAAGGTATGAATGCAATGATGTATCCACAAGACCACAAAATGGTCTTTTACGTTTATTCTTGGGATTTTATGGAAACCTGTGACCCTGGAAAACTGGCTTCCTTTTCATCTTCTTACCTTGTAGTTTGGCCTCACCACAACAGACAAAAAGCTGGGAATGACACTTCATGAGAGCCAAAACTCTCATGTCTGCATCAGCATTAAGATCAGCGGTAAACATAAAAAAACACAGCTTGATGCCCACAGCATGTGATGTGAACTGAAGATCCAATCAGAAACTGACCCACAAGAATTTTCTGACCTTAACTGTGCTTCCTGCCTTATTTCGGTGCAATTTGAGACGGCAAGAAGCAAATGTCAACATTTATGTCCAAACACTAATTTAAAAAGATCTTTCACGTTGGATAGTAATTAATTATAATTAGACTGTGTTGTTAAATATCTTGCGGACTGTCTCATCTAGCCGAGTGACTGACTCCACAAAGACCAGACTATGAGCACAACTGCGAGTGAGGTGATAATGCAAATCAGTAGAAACTTGTAAATCCTGATCGTCTATTTCCTCAAGGTCGCTATGAGGACAGCCAAGTTACTGGCCATACATGCTGCACATGCAGCAGCATTAAAAGACTGTCAAATACATACATACATAATTTTATTAGGGATTAATAAAGTATTCTGATTCTGAAATCTGCTATTATAGTCTGTACTAAAGCAGACAATGCTATCCCTTAAATAGGCTTACGGGGAATAAGGCGTTAGCCAAATGTCTACAGTCTATATTGAATGAAGACTTCGGTGATTTTACATTTGTTGTTTTCTTAATATGCTGTCCTCAATGTTGATTCATAGCCATCTGCTGCTGGAATGCAAAGTCATGAATAAGCCTAAAATATGCACATGAGAGCACTTATGACAAGGCCTATCAGGAGAGCATTCTCATTTCATACCAGGCACTGAGCTGCAAACCCTGGGCCCATGGCATAGTCACTCCTCCTTAGGCAGATCATAAACTGTGTTACAGGGATTATTCAAACCCTTCCTGAGATGAGGAGGGAGATCCTCAGCATCCATCACAGAGGTCTATTGATGCCTAACTGGCATGTGAACTCCCAGTGACTGTGAAACAGCAATGAAAGAACAACCATGCCCACACATAGAAAATGATGTGTGTGTGTGTGTGTGTCACAAACACAGTGGAGTAACCATTGCTAGCATACTGACTTAAGCGTAATAGTCAAAAATGTAGTGGTTAGTTTGTACTACAATGTAGCAAAATATGAAAAGAAAACTAACAAATAAGAAGTCAGATATCGACAGTGGGAACTTTTAACTTAATCATGGATTTTCAGTGTCAGAAGCTACATCTCCTGGATGCATGGGTGTTTTGTTTTGTTTTTTAAATTACGTAAGTTCATTTTATACAGACCACAGTGACAGTCAGAGTCAACAAATCACGTAGAGACTGACTTACCATTTTACAACAGGCATGGGGAAGCCCTCAACAGTACAGAAGATTTTGACTGGAGTGTTTTCAAACACCATGTGGGATCTGAGTCGGACCAGGAACTTTGGTCCCCTGATCATGGGCTCCTCACGCACATATTTGTCATCCAATTTTGTTCTTACCTAGACAGGCAAACAATAAGACCAGTATATGACAGATCATTTTAAAATCCATTGTACTATAAACCATTAATATTAATAAAATCCACAGGACAGTTAAACAACGAATATAGAAGTCTTGATTAAAACAGTTACAAGATTCTTACCACTTCCTGGATGCGGGTTTTTGTTTTGTGCTCATATCTTTCCTCCATCGCCTCAGAGCTAAAGACAATGACAGCAATAAGTCAGTTTCCAAAAAACCATGATAAACCTGAGCCCTGTAAGCTGATAATTGAGCATCTAATATAAAATAAATAAAGATATCAGTTACTTTGAGATGTGGACCGTCCCTGCCAAAAAACCTCTTACAGTAAGTAGCACTGGCTTCCCAGCTGTAATTTAAAAAATGCCTCATAGTATTTGGTCCATACTGTGGGACATGGTGCATGTTTCTACTCATAAATCAGTACTGACCTACCAAACATACATTGTACTTCCTGAAATATGAGCATAAATATAGTGCTATAATAATACTACAGAATGAAAGGTTTTAGCCTTAACTTATTTTATGCATGCTTCCCAGTTTATGTCCCTGAAACACAGGCAATAATTATGGGAATAATGCAGGACGGGGAAAGACAACTAAACATGACCTTAAACAGGAAGCTATAAACAGGCCATCAACATACACTCATCTGTGAATCTATGACCCCTCTGGCAGTGTGATCACGGCTGTCGGAGTCTTAAGAGTCACACTGTACAGAGGGCAAATTACAGATTATCACCTCACTGCTCGACACCTGCAGTTTTTTTGTGTGTATTTTTTTTTTTAACTTGCCTAGATCTTGATTAATCACACAGCCATTGCACAACTCTCACTTTTAGCAGCTTATTTGCCAAATATATAAGATCCTGGCTAAAGTCTGATGTAATATTATTTGTATATAACATTATGGATACTCCATAGCAGTGTTGTTCATTGCTGTTGTTCAAAAAAACAAAACAAAACCCTTCAGACAAAAAGTAACTCCACAACTGCCACCAGAAGTGCCCTTCAGCCCCTAAAGTCAAGGGGATCTTGAAAGCTGGCAGCAACAAACAACAGTTGGTACGGTGATCTGCCATCTGGGGCAGGAGCAGCAATGCAGCATTTTAAGTCAGGGAGATGAGTCTATCCTTGACCTTGACCGGGAGTGACTCTTAGTATTTGTGTCACACAGAGATTTGCCTTAAAATAGCTAAACATGCAAATTTTGTGGTGCACTTTAAAGGAGATTGGGTAAACATATGAGGAAGGAAAGGGAACATATTCATGCATCTCTTCTGTTTTTAGTGGTATAAATGCACCTGGAATGGCTGTTTTATCTAAAATAATATAATTTTGAGTATAAGTAGGGAATGGAAATCTTTTTAAATAGTTTCAGTAAAGAATGAACAAAGCAACCAGAGTACCTGTTAGTACTCTTTTTTGAGTCACACATACACACAAGCAGACATGAAAACAGAAATGGTAACTAATAATAAGAAAAATCACTAATTTAAGGACAGATTTTACAGTAGCAGCTTTTTTATTCATTTACACTATCAAACCTAATCAAATTTAGGAAACTCACCATAAAGTTAACAAGAAAATTACAATGAAAAATCTTCCTTACTCATAGGAGTTCCTTAATCAAGTATGAAATCTTTTCATAAAGCTTTTACTAACCACCTCAGAGTCTTTATGTTCGTTAGTCCGTCTGTTGCTTGGCTTCATTTGCAGGTTTAGTTGTACAAAACCTTACTACTGTTACACATCTGATATTAGTAATATTATTAGGACAATTTAAGTAACTTAAAACTATAAATAATACAGAGTCTCTTGGTACCTGCTATATTCTTTAACCACATACTGGCTCTGTTTGTGGTGGTATTCATGGTTGTAACTTCCACGTTTGATCCACGCTGACATGATGATGCCGTAGATATTGACCTGTTGGACCAGCACCACACATTACAAGATTGATGCATACAATCACAAAGACAAACACTGAACGATTCTTGAAGAGATGCTTGAAATTTTGAAAATAGTCATTTCCAATTACATTTCAGCATGATGTTTTTATTTACTCGACCCTAAAAGGAAAAAAAAAACACTCCTAAACTTTGGAAACTTGAAGTCTGCATTATTCCCCCGACATCCAAATTCATAAACATAGCTAACTGTCGGCTCCAGGACTGACAAGATGACACTATATTGATGGAACACACGGGCACAAATGTAAACAAAGGGCATGGACAAGTATGGATAAGAATAGCAACTGAAGCACAGCTGCAGCCAAGAGTGTGGTACCAGTTTGATAGCAGTAATGGCTTGTGTGTTTAACAATTGCCAATAAATATAATTTGAATAAATTAGACAAAAAGGAAGCCAGTTACTGTAACGTGACTAAGACAGCACGGCATTAATCCATTATTGATGATAGGGACGTAAAAACTGACACTAAAAACACAGAAAAAGAAAATGTTGCCATACAAACGTATCACTGACAGTTCAGCATCCTTAAATGTGTCATCAACTATGTGCATGCTGCTTACGGCTGTCTGGCTCCAGCTTATTTAAAACGTTCATTATTAAGAACATTTCAGGAAATGTCTCGTGTATAATCTGAAGTCCTTTTCATTTGTTGTGTGTTTCATATAAACAGAGTAGATGTGGACTTCAAGGCAAGAGAATACAGTAGCTTTGTCTTACATCATCCACACACACAGGGGAGTATAACTGCCTTGCATCACCTCATAGTCCTCAGGGACCAGAAATAAGGTCAGATGAAACGTGAAGCGATACTGCGGCCCAGCCTCCCTCCCTGAAGGCAACTGAGACGTGCTGCACCGGCAAAAACATTTCTACTTCCATGTCTTTGAAACACACTGCTAAGATTCAGTGTCACTGTATGCATCACTTCTATTGGCCCAAGGCAATCCTCCAAGCAGAAAGTCAGCCACAGTAAAAGAACAAAACAAAACCCTTGCCTCCAACCTCTATCCCCAGACTGCAAAAATAATCGTTCTCATTTGAATAATGAAGCACGATATTTTATTTATGTCCATCACTCGTATTTTGCCCTTTTACAGTCATTATATTTTCCCTGAAATGGGTAACCACAGTCTTACTGTAACTGTCTGACTATTTGGTATTAGCAAACATACTGTGGGTGTTACCTCACGTAACACCCAAACATCTCTATTGTAGCTGTAAAACTTTATAGATCTCAGTCAGAACAATGCAAGCCTTTGAATTTCTCCAGTCTGACCATAAACACTTCTACCTAGATGCAAAACTAGTGGTAGCAACAATACAGTAGCTAAACATTGGCTCAAGCGCTTGTACATTTTCTAACTTGAGGCATAATCTTTGTTAGCAGATAAATGAGCTCAAGTATACATGAAACCAACACATTTAAAGTCCAAGCGTTGCACACCGACAGACAGCCCTCTGTTGCTCACTCATTTACTCCAAATGAATCACCACATATCGCGAATGCAGTAATTAATATTCATAATAAAATGAAATTAATATATAGTATCACTCATCACATTGAGTATCATTAATAGCTCTGACTAAGGAGCAAGAAACATCTCTTGGCTGTGCCTCGGTCTGTTCTCTCTATGCCATCCCACTGATCCCACCAGCTATACTTGGATTTGAAACAAAGCTGCAGATCCAGAGGAGAGAGGAGCATAAAACTGAATTTAAAATTGATTTTCTTACCCCTTGAGATTCCCTTTGCAGCGACTTCGGCTGTCAAGCTGAATCCACAGGGAGTCAGCCTAAACCAAGTACAGGGCCAACAAAACCACCACCCGTCTTCAACTGTTCCCCACCTGCTTCTCCGTGAGGCCTTAAAAGGAGACAGAGCTGCCTATATATAACCAGTATCCTTCAAGACTCATAATTACTGGAACCAGTAAACTATTTGAATAATAGAGTTTATTCATTACACTTTGTAATGGAAGCCAACCGATTTGTTTTTGGTATTCCAAATTAATGGTGCATGCTTAATAATGAGTTATTTAAGTATACGAGAGCACACAGACAATGCAGAGAATCTGACAACAGTGATGCTATGTTTTGGGAGGGGGGGCAATACCACACTTTCACCAGCAGCACTTTTAGCCCCACAGACTAGACAGCAGTATGGAGAGCTTTCAAGTAGCACTTAACTAATGAGTTTTACCATGCCACAATAACATGTTAATGAATAATAAAATGTGTCACTGTATGCATCATTATAGAGCTTTTAAAACATGCACACTCAAACTGAGGAAAACAGATTTAAATTCTGTATTACAATGGCTGGATACGGTGGATCATGAGTTTATAGCTACATTTAAATCTAGCTGCATATTAGTTAATACTAGACCCTCTCTAAGGTCTTTCACCATTCTGTGCTGAGAAATGTCTTAAGACACTGTGCCACATGCTGAACTTTGGCCAGGGTCTATTTATAAAAATAGCTACAGTTACAGCTTGACTATTCCTGACACAGTGGAGGAGCTTTGAAACACATTTCACATCTGAGACAAAATCACATGAGAGGACAACATAAGTCACATTTGGAAAAAGGGAAGACGGAGAGAGGGAGGCATGGCTGTGGTTTCACGTGGTGCTGATGACATAGACAGGAGAATGAATACGCCAAACAAAAGATGAGAGTACAAGAAAAGCTGATTTAGACAAACACCTAGTCAGTTTAAAATTGATGTGACTGGGGATTAATGCTTTCCGGAGAGATGCTGTTTTTAACAAGTTCTATTTGCAGGGGTCAAATTTTTCTATCAATCAGCAGCTCCTGAAATGAAGAAAAACTGACCTGTGCAACAAACAAATTTCATAATCCTTAATTTTAAACTCTTCATGAAAAAGATGAATTCCCAAAGACCAGTCCTTGCTTTTTTCAATATTATTACATATCACCATGTCAAGCAGACAGTCAATAATACCCTTTATCCTGACCTCTAATCTCTAAAGCCATGGTTCAGTATAAATAATAATAATAACTGTTTAAATATTCTGTGACTCATCTAGTTAAGTAGAATGGCTTAAGTATAGTCTAGAAATTACAGAAAAAAAGTGTGCGTGTCTGTGTCTATCTGTGTGGTGGTGCTGGGGGTAAAAACAAAACCATAAGCTTTTGTGGTAGGAAAAGAGCCCCCTGTTGGTTGTTTAGTACTGTACTCTCCCTGATCATTTTGCTACATCATGGTTAACACTGAGGCTGAAAAACAGATTTTGAAAGCTAAAAACAGACAGTGCAGACATATGGAGTCTAATCAGGCTCTGTTTATGATGGAAAACACTTTTTAACAGCCAGCCTGAAAAGACAAGAGTGAAATAAATTAGAAATGTTCCTTCCATACCTTTAGTTTGACACACTGGCCAATAATGGGGCCTCATATTTATTATGGCTGGCCCATTCATTTAGATGCTAAGTGAAAAGTAACAGGAGAAGCGTACTGTATACAGTACATTTAACCTACTTTATGTTGAAGACAGTTTTGCCAATACTGACCAATTTCTGTTGAAAACATGCATGAATTGGTGCTGACAGAGTAAATCAGCTTTCTCGCGTGTTCACTCTGGGCTTTTTAATCCGCAGACTAGCTGTCACACGCTTCCGTTTTCGTGTTCTGCATAGCTGGTGCCAACTTGTCAAAAAATCCCAAGCAGATGTCAATGTACAAAGTCGCAAATGACATGTGAAGTAAACTCCCCGGTTTTTTTCTAAGCCTAGCATAAGCACGCATATTCAATCCACCAGGCTGTCGAGAAATATGTTTTAAAGAAAATAAAATGACTCAGATTGAATAATTCATTTTTGTGTTCTTGTTTTGATTTTTGTCTCAATAATATCCGTAAAACGTGTCTGTACAAACTCAAAATATGCCTATATTTCTTTTTCTTTCTTTCTGTTTTGTCTTCGCTTTAGCTCAGTGTCTGAATGATCAACCTCATGGTTAACACTGAGGCAGAAAAAGTTGTAATGCTAATGACTGTGCAATACTTTAGTACAGTGATTCTAATATGACGACGATATATTCAACATATTTTTGACTGGAGGATAGGGACGTCTGTACACTGTTGAATCAACGCACCACATTTGAAAATATCACCGGCAGACTCCGGAGAATAAATGAAGCCACCGGTTCTGCTGCGTGATGACGCATGAGCGGAGCATCGCTTCTGATTGGCTAAGTGAACAGGTAGGTAGTGACGCGATGTGGAACATAAACAACAAACAATGGGCTGTCGGTTATAGATCGTGTGAAGTACTTTAACCGACAGAAGCTATTTGTTCGGGAAACTGTTTCACATTTGAGAACTATTGCGAGTTTCGGCTGTGACGTATTTGACGCAAGGTGAGAGATTTTAAAAATATGTTATGTGTGTGTAATACGATCTTTTTGCTGACATAAAAGAGTCGGGCGTTTCACGCTAAATGATTGTTTTTAAACGTCGATAGCTAGGATTATAGTTTTTGCAAATGCATCTACTGTAGCTAATTTTGGTTAATGTGAACTAGTACCGTAAACAATCTAATCACACCGAGTAAAAGGGTCGTTAAAAGTTCTCTGTCGCCATTTCTTTATTTCCTTAACAACAGCGGTGACTCCAGACGATTTTACATTGGGCTTCCAAATGTTTTGTTTGGTCTGAGGGCAAGGTTGTTCCCTTAATCAGAATAGTTTCACATATAGGTAAACTGAGTCAATAAAAGACCCACAAGTGTGTGTGTGTGTGTGTGTGTGTGTGTGTGTGTGTGTGTGTGTGTGTGTGTATATAATTTGTTTAACAATATTTGTGTTGATAGACATTTCTCTCGACTGTATTTTTCATACCAGGAACAACAAACAGATATTAAAGTAGCTGTCCAAACAGGCCCAGTTAATACGTTTGTGAAACTTTGAAGTTATTTAAACAGCATTTTATATCTGTTTGAAGAGCGACAGAAAAACTGCCGGGATAATATTTTTGTCTTATTTTGTGCTTTTTGATTGTTTGTGTGTGTCAGTTACATATTTTCATCAGAATCCACAAAGCTGCGTGCTTACTGATTCCACACTGTATATGTAAAATGTAATGTAGATGTTTAGTTTTACATATAAGCTGCCATTTATTGACTAACCTGCTATTTTATTTTAGGACAACCATGAGGCTCTGCTACCCCTTATTGATATGCCTGGTCCTAACCATGTCCTCATCTTTCATAATTTCATCCAAGTAAGTACAGACAAACACTTAGGAGGTGGTTCATTAGAACGTATAGATTTATGTAACCATAGACTGAATTTGTTTTCCTGGTTTTTGTTTTTTAAGAAATCTTTCTATATTTCAGACACATGTGGACCAAAATGATCCTCACCCATCACTGGCCAACCACTTTCTGTTCGGTGAGTTTGTATAATTAATGAAATCATTGCCCTTTAGTTATCGTAGTTGTTTCCAAACCAGTTCCTGTCTTCCAAGTGAAGCAACCTTATATAAAAAGGAAAAAGTGCACTCATGACAGCCACACCCAGATTGAACTCTGCTGACTGACTTTTTTTTTAATTTAAAGTGTCATTATTTAATGCCAAGTGCCTCATATTTCACTTGTTCCATTCTTAGTTTTTGGTTCCTTTCCAAAACATTTGAAGTATGCTGGGTTTGATTCAAGCTTATCAAAGTAGTTTCAAGGTCAGTATTATGAAAACACAGGGTTAGTATCACTTCTTACCTGGGTAACACTATGTATCTAACATGATACAGAACGTGTTCTAGTTTTTCAGTAGCAGCAGTTATTATTATTATTATTATTATTATTATTATTAATTTATTTATTTATTTATTTTGAGGGGACAGGGGTCATAGTAATGATGCAGAAGTTTAAAAAATTCAAAGAATTAATACTATACTACTCCACAGCTCATTTTTTGAATTAGACATTGTAATTGTAATCCTGCTGATTGGTGAGCTGTGTTATACTCAGTCTGCATTGTCTTTAACCTCATCATACATTTCTATTAGTTTTACTCTCCTTTGTAGACTCAGCCTGTCCGTGTTTGTGATCGTGATTGGTGCCAATGCCACCCCGTTCATGCACTTGTAAATAAGCTGACCCAGGTTTTACAGTCTATCAAGTTAATGGCCACCTTCATGTGATCGCAGCCTGAGTATTAAGATAAGATAATATAACTCTTTATTGTCATTGCACAGTCATACATAGTACAGTAGTACAATGAAATTGGAAAACTGTCCTACGTCGGCACTACATATAACACAACACGACACAATATGACACATCACAACGCAACAAACAACACAACACAGTATATTAACTTAGTATAAAAAAGAAGAAGAATTGTATGTGTATTGCACACTGTTATTATTGCACATTAATTATTATTGCACCTTGTTATAAATATAAATATTATTATTGTTATTGTTTTAAACATTGTTACCTCCCCCCTAAAAAAGTCCAGGGAGGTAGCCAGTCAGGTCAGCTATTTACATTGATCAGGGCTATTGCCCTGTTGTAAAAGCTGTCCTTGAGTCTATTTGTTCGGGACCTCAGCAGCCTGAACCTCCTGCCAGACGGCAGCAGCTTAAACACCTGGTGTCCTGGGTGTGTGCAGTCCCGTAGGATGCTGCGTGCCCTCTTGAGACAGCGAGTGCTGTACAGGTCCTTCAGGGAGGGAAGAGGATATCCAATGATTTTTTGGGCCATGTTGATGACCCTCTGGAGTGCCTTTCTGTGTGCTGTGGTGCAGCTGGAGAACCACACACCGATGCAACATGTCAGCACACTTTCAATGGAGCAGTGGTAGAAGACGGTCAGCAGCTCCTTCTTCAGGTCCATTTTTCTGAGGATTCTCAGAAAGGGGAGACACTGTTGGGCCTTCTTTAAGACCGCAGAGGTGTTAGAGCTCCATTGGAGGTCTGTCTATGTGCACACCCAGGAACTTGAAACTGGAGACCCTTTCCACGCACTCCCCGTTGATGCTGACAGGCTGCAGCTCGGACTTCCTCCTTCTGAAATCAACTACCAGTTCTTTTGTCTTGGTGGTATTGAGGTCCAGGTTGTTATCTACACACCAATCTGTCAGCCTCTGAACTTCAGCTCTGTACGCCGTCTCATCTCCCCCTGAGATGAGCCCCACCACGGTGGTATCATCTGCAAACTTGATGACTGTGTTGTCTGGGTGGGAACTAACACAGTCATGTGTGTACAGAGTGTACAGTAGGGGACTCAGTACACAGCCTTGTGGAGAGCCGGTGTTGAGGCTGAGGGCTGAGGAAAGATGAGGCCCCACTCTAACTCTCTGTACACGGTCTGAGAGGAAGTCTCTGATCCAGCGGCAGGTGGTAGAAGGAAGTCCAATTTCCAGCAGTTTAACTATTAGTCTGTCCGGGAGTATCGTATTGAAAGCAGAGCTAAAGTCAACAAAGAGCAGCCTGGCGTAACGGCCCTGCACTTCCAGGTGAGAGATGGTGGTGAGGAGCGTTGTAGCAATGGCATCTTCAGTTGATCTGTTAGCTCTGTATGCAAACTGGAGCGGGTCGAGTGTGGGTGGCAAGCAGGACATGATGTGACGTCGGACCAGTTTCTCGAAGCACTTCATTATAACAGGTGTTAGAGCAACTGGTCGGTAGTCGTTGAGGCTGCTAATGTTAGTACGCTTTGGCAGTGGGACAATTGTGGCTGACTTTAGGCACGGCGGGATGCAGGACTGGGACAGTGAAGTGTTGAAGATCTTAGTGAAGACCCCAGCCAGCTGGTCTGCACACTCTTTTAGGACCTTTGCGGTTACCCCATCTGGTCCGGCGGCCTTCCTGGGGTTCACTGCCCTCATATTCCTGCACTATGAGGCTTGGGCTGCTGCTGCTGTCCGATGTTTTTGCTGCTGCTGCCTCTGGTCCCTTCACCTCAAAGCGTGCGAAGAAGTGGAGTGTTAGTGTTAGGGGAAGTGAAACCAGATAACAGAAAGTTATCCTGGGTATGTTGACTTCCTTTAGGACAGACCTCAGAACAGTTCTCATATCCCACTGCATCTCTATTGTCAAGCTTTGAACTGAGTCTCCAAAAGGCAGATTTTGTTCATTTCAAGTCATTCTTTAGTAGATTTATGTGTGATTTATGAGGTAGATGTAGCTTTTATGGAAAAGTGCACCATGTACTAGGGTACAGTTGCATTCAAAAATTGTAAATTTGTGCATAAATACTGACCTGAAACAGTCCTAAGAGTTCATATCTATCTGGAAATAAATACGAGGATAGTGAATTCCTGATAGCTCTGTAATTTGTCTTAAGCTATTTGCAGTTAATTTGAAGCTTTTTTTTTATGCAATCCTGTTAAGTATTCACAACATCTGAGTCTTTGGCATTTGTTTGTATATTTATTTATTTATTTGGTCGTAGGAGCTTCAAAACGTGCTTAATTATTATCATGCAAAGTGAACAAACTGAGCTTGCAGTTCTCAAATATCATGTGATATCTTTGCGAGCTATTTGGTCGGACGTGTTGAGATTCTCCTTTGTCGAAGTAAGAGTTTCATTGTGATCACAAGTACGCAGTTACCACAACTGACGACACAAAATGAACATCCCCTTTTTGTGGTTTTTGAAAGCACTTTTCCTGGTAATTATTCTGTCTTGTGAACTTCTCTGACTGAGCATGTCTGTGGGTGTTATATAAGGGTTTATGGCACATACACGACTGTGTCAGAAGGGCATGTCTGATTTGGTAACATCGATGACCCTCGATTAGTTGTACTGTTATTTAGGCATTTTGCTCAGGATGTCAGTTTGCCCTAGACGCGTTTCTGGCTGCTCTCGTTTATGTACACTGAAGATGGAAGCAATAAAAATCCACCACTACAAAGAAAAATACAGCGCAACAACACAACAAACTGCAGGCCCCAAATGACCTTAAAAAAACAACAAAACAAATCAACTTCTCAACTTATCACACACACTGTAGCTTTAAAGGGGTTCCTCATTTCATCAGTCATCAAAGTTCCTGACTGTGTATATACGTTGAATACGTGGTTTCAGTTTCCGATGTGGAATGATTATTAGAGTTGTCTAAATAAATGTTTATATATTTTAGATGGAGCACTGTCAAAGCAACATTAGCCAGTGGACACTACATGGATTCTGGTAAGTGTGTGTGTGTGTGTGTGTGTGTGTGTGTGTGTGTGTGTGTGTGTGTGTGTGTG